AGTACGCGGAGCACTTCGTGGAGCTGGAAGATGAGAACTGGCGACTTTGTAGTACAACTTTAGTACGCGGAGCAATCTGTGGAGCTGGAAGCTGAGAACTGGCGACTTTTGTAGTGCAACTTTATAACGCGGAGTATCTGGGGAGCTGGAAGATGAGAACTGGTGACTTTGTAGTACAACTTTAGTTCGCGGAGTGTCTGGGGAGCTGGAAGATGAGAACTGGCGACTTTGTAGTACAACTTTAGTACGAGGAGTATCTGGGGAGCTGGAAGATGAGAACTGGCGACTTTGTAGTACAACTTTAGCACGCGGAGCAATCTATGGAGCTGGAAGCTGAGAGCTGGCGACTTTGTAGTGTAACTTTAGTACGCGGAGTATCTGGGGAGCTGGAAGCTGAGAACTGGCGACTTTGTAGTGCAACTCTAGTACGCGGAGCAAGCCGTGGAGCTGGAAGCTGAGAACTGGCGACTTTGTAGTACAACTTTAGTACGCGGCTGAGTCATCTCTATTCTGTATTTTGCAAAAATGCATGAACAACGTTTTTTTCCTGCGAGACAGTTGACGGTGGTTGCTTCGCTTTCGCTCCATTGGTCGGTTCCAACTTGTTTTGTCAAAGAACATCGCAGCTCGGCGAATCAGCCTGCCACATGCCCATTTCCTATAGGTTTATTCTTTTGGAAACTTCCGCCGCCGGCTTGCCCGGGAACTACTTGTAATATATTATACATCATATACATTATTGGAAAGTAAATAATAGAGGACATTAAGATCTTAATTTAATGAAAAGGCCCTTGAAAGGATTTTGATTATTTGTTAGGGTTTGAGAACATGGAAATGTAAAGTTTAAAGGATATTTCATAAAAGTAATTGGGAAGTCATTAAAAAGGGAAGTCGTCAAACATGGGAAATCATTATTTGTTGCTCTAAATCAGCCTTTTCTAGAGCAAGTCATTATCTCTCTGACAAAAGGCGGCTACAGGGACTGTAGCAGCCTTTGTCTTAGTAAAAATAATGATCACACTTTTCTCAGACTAATAATGAGTGCTCTGGCAAAAGTGTGATCATTATTTTGTGATCAGTTCTTTGAAGAAAGAATGCTTTGCGGCAGTTCTTTGACACAAGGAGTGCTTTGCAGCAATTCTTTCATCAGGAAACATTAGAAAAAACACAAACATCCTGACTACCACTTCCCCATGAACAGACTACCACTTGTCATGAACATGCCTTCTTAGAGATGTCAAATTTGGATTAAACAATTGCAAACACAAGGACTCTCAAACGAACCTCTGCAGACTGGGCTGCACTCAACGGATTACCAGCTTTGCCCCACCAGGCCCGGTGGGCAGAAGTTACGCCATTCCGGGAAGTGATGCCCAAAGGATTTATTCCTGTAATGAACAAGTTTTGGTACGATGAACAAGTGTTGGACCTACCATGCTACTCTGCCCGAGGAATCCTAGCCTTGCTTCTGGAGAACTTGAGCGATTTCAGCCCAAACACATAGATTGAATCCTCCCCTTCCCTGGAGGTTTTGGCAAATTCCATGCCCAAGCGCAGATATAGGCAAAACCCGCATTTATGGAGGACCAAAAAAACCATGTGTCTTTCTTCAGTTAAATGTGGGGTTCGTTGGGTCTCACGTGGTTGTCATCTCGCGACGAGTCCGCCCTGCTGCACTCTGAGACTGCTGCTTCGCCAAAGTGAGGGCATGTGGTGATCGCAGTTCACCCTCTTTCGTCCAAAAGGAAGGCAAATCAAGGCTCCAAGCAAAAAGGCCTCTTCGCTCTTCGGTTCCGATGGGATGATCGATGATGCGATGGGTGGGAGCATTTTTGTGTGATCGTGACTGGCTTTGGTGTTGCCAAGGTATAGATATGGAATCCAGAGGTCAAGAGAATGTCCAAAAATGATCACTGAGGACAAACACCCAAAACCAATGTTCCGGCCACAAATGAGACCGACATCGCATGAACGACCTGTTGAAAAAAACATGCAAACAAAAATTGAGGGAGTGCACTTCTCACCCAAAAACTTAAGAAAAGGGCCTGCACAAGTGTGGGCAGGAAATGCTGCCCGAAAGACGACATTTGGCATCCTTGTCTATAGATTCAAGACGTGTCGTTTGGCCCACAATAGCATTGCGTCACGAAGGGGCTCCGCTGGCCTTCTTTCAATGACAACCGGCCTTCTTCATTGTGTCAGGAAACCACCTTCCATGCTTGTTGTGTCAGGAAACAACCGCGTAGCACATGTTTTTTGACATTTAACGTCCCTTGCACTGGATCTGGGCCGATGAGCACAGAGTGCTCTCCGTGCTCTCCCATGCCATGCCATGCGGTGTTGATGCCGCAAGATACCTCCTCAGCTCCTCCCCACATCTGCCAAGGTCAGACCCCCAAACGTTCCACCCCAAAGACCCCCAGGTCCTCCGGACCAACGCTGAACAGATCCGGAGGACCTGTCCAAACTGCTCCAAGCGGTCCCAACGGCGCTCCACCTTCGTGTCCGTCGGTCGACGTCTGTATGATACACCGGCCAAAAGAGATGGCCGTAGGTTGTTCCAGCTGGGTGCCCAAGGTATCCTAGCCATATCTTGACCCGGTCCAAAGTGTGTATGGAGATCAGTCATTGAGAACGGGACAGCTTTTCACTGGGGCGACGACAGGATCTCATGTTTCTCAAGTCAAGTGGCTTTCCAGGTGTGCATCATAAAGAGCTCGACCCATGTTGTCGCCTCAGATTTGCACCACACCCGGTCCAGCGACAAATCCGGGTGTCGACCCGACCATTGAACCGGCATATATGCCAGCCCAGAGAGACCCTGAAATCAATCACCAGAAATGATTGCTAAATAGGCCATACAGTCAGAGCTGGATGCCTTGAGTAGCGATGCCCTTGTTGTTACTAGCATCCTTGCTACCAGTAGTAATGCCCTTGTTACTAGTAGCGATGGCCTCCAACCTACAAAAGGGATGACCTCCACCGAGCATAGCGTCATTGTTACTACTAGTGATGGCATACAGGAGCGGTGCCAGAGCCCTCTCTCAGCGGATCCGCCCGGATCACATTGGGCTGCCCGGACCCACACGGAGAACGTGAACATGCCACCCATGCAAGCACCGCCACCTGGACCATTTCCGACACGCTTCGGACCAGCCAAACCCACGCGAGCCAACGCGAGCCGGGAAGACGTACGGACGGGAAGACCTGGTGTTCAGATCGCCGTACTACAAACGGTCCAAAGACATCACCCAGACACTCCATGGGACTGCCATATTTGCCGATCAATTGGGGTGGTTTTGGGGGTCAATGTAGGCATATATGGCAGTCCCATGGTGTGTCTGGGTCATGACATTGGAAACGGATGAGTTTGTCTTTCTCAAGTGGCCACACATGCAGTTGCTCCCGAACACATGTTTCTAAGGACCAATACCAGGAGCACTGCATGGGGATCAAGGGAGATGTCTACTATATAAGTTGGAGCCAATCAGAAAAGGCCTGTTGTGAGCGGCCAACAAATGGACTTTTGCGGAAGATCTTGAAGTATCATCTGACATGTGTTTCAGTTCTGCCGCTCACAACAGGCCCCTCCTAAATAGTCATTGATATATTGTGAGCAAAGGGCCTCCCAATGTCTGCCACAGCCAGCGATTAAACACTGTCAGGGTTAATGTAGAGTCTCAATTCTCGTAGCCTCAGCACTATCGGTCTGCGATAGAAACAAGGGATATCGATTCTTTTCAGTGGACCGCTCTACAGAGCTTCGTGCACATGGACTGGAGGAGCATTGCCAAATTGCTCACTTGGTCTGTTCATCATTCAGCCAGTCAGCTATTTCACTAGGGCGCCCCACCTTTGCCTTTGGTCTCAAAGCCATGGCCGTCGTTCTTCATGGCATACTCCCAGCCGCAGTAGCCTCAGACTGACCCTTTTGGAGTCCGGAAACGACCTGTTGAACATGGGAACTACCCCTACCAACATCTACCTAGCACTTCCAATGGGTGCCCAATGGAGGCCTGTTTACGTAAGGTAGGGTAGTCTAGCCAGGACACCCATGTCCAGGATGACCCTGGTAATAACCTCCTGAACCCATCAAAAGCAGGACGCGAAAAGGACTGAGAAACACTTGACCCGACCAGTCCGCAGAGTCGAGGAGAGTTTCCGTACTCCCACTCCTCCCATGTGAGTTGAAAAGGGGGTTCAGTTTGGATCCTTGAAGGTAAGAGGCTGAGGATCCTGCCATCCGAGGTGTGACATGGTCTGACTGCTGGCGACCCTTGACTGGTTCTGACTTTTCTGCGCACCCTCGATCTTGGCACCGTCGACCGAGTTAGGCTTTTCACCGCTAAGAAATCCGCTCTGCGGTGACTGCGCATCCGACATTTAGAATGGGAGGACAACACAAAGAGGGCATCAGCTGACAACTTGGGACGCAACCGAGAGGTGACCAACATGCAGTCATACCTGGTGCTCCTTCGAAGAGGCCTGGTGAAAGGAGTGCGACAAGCCATGCATCGCCTTTGACTGAAAAGACAGGGCCTCCTCGGGGGTCTCTGTGTCCTGAAAAAGGAAGTGTTACTTCTTGAGTACTGCACCACACTCAAACCATCTATCTGCGTGAGAAACTTGACATCTTCCAACGAAACATCACGAAGGAAGGATGCTTCAACAGGAAGGACTCTGCTCAGTCTTAGCTCAGTCTGGCGACCTCCCAGGCCACGAACCCGCCCTCGCTTCGGGTGCAAATCAGTGGCAGTTCCATCCTTCGATTGGACACGTGGCACCTGGCAGGGTGCCCAAACGATAGCCCAAGTTAGTATTTGAGCATCTTTGCTGTATTTGGGATGTATTTGGCCTCTGTTGTTTGCTGAAAGTAGATCTCTTCCCAGCAGGGCGAAGAAAAATCGCAGCCAAGCTGGCTGCAAAGGACCCCGTGGATTGCTGAGAGATTGAACAAGATTTTATACTCTTTTTGCCAGAGTGCAGCTTTGCAACTCAAGTTTGGGAAGCCGATTCATGGGGATCCGTGAGGAGAAGTAAGTTGACGGACAAATTCTTCTCTTCTGGAACCATGGATCATGCTGGATGCCTTGCATTAAGAGGAGTAGGCAAGGAACCAGGTGCAACAAGAGGTCTGAACATGCAGAAGGTCATTTGGCTATAGGCTATTCCTTGTGGCAGCAGGTGAACAGCGTGACTCAAAACCAAGAACCTTCCTCCGCATGCAAGTTCTTACTTCCTGTGCAAGTTCAACCACTAAGACTAAGGACTACCCTGTGGGCCTTTAGCAAGAGCGTCGTGACCGATATGGGGGGGGACAGGTGCTGGTTCTAGACCTGGACACTTTGACACATCGCCGTGGACCAGATGCGCAGTGGATCCTGAAACCTGGGCAATGTCCCCTCTCTCTCTATACCCTGGGAGTCAAAAACTATAAAAATAATGGTCTTTAGGTGACCCGAAAGGGACTATCCTTTACTTCAGTCGGTCAAAATATAGTCGAACTGGACTTCTAGGCTAGGGTATATATATATACCTCTCTCATCGGACGATCTGAGCGCGTCGATGGCATGAAGGACACTCTGGTCCCGTCATGCGAATTATATTATATATGCAATTATATACATGCATACAGCCTTTCTTCCAACCCGTACGGTGGAGCAGTGCTTTAAAACTGCTCCACTTACCTATCTGCAAGACATCAACACAGAAACATGGTCCAAATGTGTTGTTCCCGCATGGACAAATAGCTGCCAGAGGATACTTTGTCCACATCATAGACACTGTGCTCACCATCAGTCTTGAGACAAGCAACTCTTTTGCGGTCCGAAACTTTACAAATGGAAAGCTCTTCCAATTTGGGCCGGACTAAGAGCAAACGGAGCAAAGAGCTTGTGATTTGAGGAACATTTGTCCCATTCTTTCACCATCTCCAGAAGGCTCATACGGGCCAAGCCTGGAATTCCCACATGACTCTCACATTTTTCGTCGCTGATGCACTTGTATTGATCGCAAACTCCTGGCCATCGCATATTCGGGAGCCAAGAATGATCCTTTCCACGGTTACAAACAAAAGGTAAACAGTGCATGTAAAATGTCCGAAATCAGCGTTCTCCAGCACTCGAAATGTTGGGGCAAAACAACAACCTCTCAACACACCAGCCTTCGTTGAAAGGATGGGCATGGCGCTATTCCAAGTCAAATGAGGGACAGTCTGCGGCTGATGGTTCATTCCAATCAAAAACCGAACCATCACACTGGATCGCATTGCTAGTCCGGAGTGTCTGGGGTTTTTCGCGGCCACCATCTCGACCCCCACGATCGTCTCCGGTGATGCAGACCGCCTAGTAGGGACGCTACTAGGAACAAGGACGCCATTAGGGCCATTAGGGGCTCCTGGCCTTACTTTTATAGGAGCATTGCGACCTTCCAGTCGCAAGCGACCTGTGTGGTGACTCGGGTGACTTGGGGTGTCGATGTCAAGGACTCCGACGAAAGTTCACGACTCTGGGTCGCGTTGGGCGTCGTAGTCGTATCGTTTCGGTTCGGGGTAGAAGGGCTGGATGCCATGTTCGGGTACGTCCAGTCATACCGAACCGGTGTAGTCGCTACGACGAAGGAGGTGTAGGGGGTGTAACAACATGCCGCCCAAAATCGCGCGGAAGGACGGTCGACCGATCTCCTGCGAGGAAGTTCACCGTGTCCTCGCACGGCGCGGACGGCGGCGATCTGGTCGACGGACGGTGCCGGTTCACGGCATGGTAGGGCGCTCTCCTTCTGTGGATTGCGGTAGACTTAGACCTTCATGTTTGTTCCCCCACGGTGCGAAGGAAACGCCTCTTGCTTGTGAGAGTGAAACCAGCCCATACCCTTCCACTTGCTTCAAGTCGCATGTGCAAGCTTGTTACCCATCTATTCAGCCCAAACAGCCGATTTGGTGTATAGAATCCGGGAGTCTCTTTCCGAACATGCAGAACATTAAAATCTATAGTGCAACTGGTCAAATCTATCTTTTTCAGCTGTCATGATAGCCCGGCTATTTGCAGATAGCCCGGTGAATTCGGTGTCTGCCCGCCTTCGGAGTGGTGTTGCCTTGCTACTCACTGGTTTGAACATTGGGAAATTCGGCAAACTCTAAAAGGCTGACTCTGACTAGTTTGCTTCTGGGATTTCTCTGCAAGTTTCGGGTGAGAACTTGGGGTTTCCAAGTTGGCGGCTTGTTGCCAGAAACTGCATGGTTGGTGGGCATTCAGAAATAGCAACCATGCAGGTATTACTAGTGTTGCTCGCCGGTGAACTGTTTACTGTATGTGGAGCGGTGGAAAACCTTTTCGCGGTTGATGTTGCCCTTGGGCAAGGTAGGGCCGGTGTCCCAAACGAGAAACCACGGGCTGTGCAGGATGCTAGTTAATCACGTTGTATGGTGGTATAAAACAAAGTTTAAAAGGCGGTGATACTGAGATATACTGAGGCATGTATGGTACGTACGGATCACATCAAACCGCAAACGAACTAATCCACTAATCCGGAATCCTTTGTGGGAGACGAGAGGCAGTCCTCAAACCGAGTAGCATTTGAGGGGGACTCCATGACATTGGTGCTTTTTAGGATCCCAATACTCCCGGATTTTTTGTCATAAAATAGTCCCAGAACCATACGTCTTGCACTGTCAGTTGCTCAGAAATCCACTTGGCGAAAGATTCAATCTCTCAACACCGACGAACGCAGTGTCAGTTGGTCAAAACGTCCGTGCCAAACGTCTCGGGAACATCCTTGCATAGTCTGATCGTGTGTCTTCCGCCCACTTGCAAAATAAACAAAATGGAGCAGAAACCACCGCCAGAACTCACAACGGAACTCACAAAAAGGCTGAGTAGATTAATGTATAGATTGTATAGCACCCGCACTTGGGGAAAAAAACAAACATAGCAAGACCACTAATTGTTCGGCTTGCCTTACCATGCCACCCCAGAGATCCACCCCATCAATTCCACCCCATTCTTCACTTCCAAAGGCACCGCGATGCCGCTCTTGGTCCAACCTACGACGTCGGGAGGTCCGTCTTGATGGGTCAGGTCGGCCGGTCTGTGGCGCTGTCAGTTGGATAGATAGCATCCAACTGAGCCAAGAAGTTGGTGTCGTTATACTCTCAGCGTTTCATTCCGCCGGCCGCCCCCTCCGTTTCGAAGATGGGCCAGGGGTGGGTTTGGGGGTCCAAGCACCTTCTTTCATTGGAACATCTCAGCTTCTTTGAGCCAAACGAGTGGTTTATGGTGTTTTCCTGCGGCCTTGGCGCCGAACCACATGACGTGGCCACTGTGTTTTAACATCTGTCATGCATTGGATTTGCTGTCCAGGAACCTGGGAAAATATAACTGTTTCCCGGAACCAGGACCTTCAAAGTGACCCTTTGATATCCCAGGATGAGGTCACTTAGGTCTGTACAAGGTCACAGACAGAGACTCCAAAGAGGTCACGAACTGAAGGTCCTGGAAGGGGACACCAGATCGGCAAAACCATGTGTAGTGTAGCTGGCTTGATACCAGAGAAAACCCTCGATCCATCTTCTGGCAGTATTCCTGCGTGGGATATCCTCTAACTTTGCTCGCAGCCATGGGGTTCTTACGGTCATTGTGAGCCAGGTTCGTGCAACAAGTCAACCTCATGTTCGTTGCATGGTCGTGTAGCGTGCCAGGCAATCTTGCGCACTTGCCGTGGCTGGTTTGCGCTCTTGTTGAGGTGCCGTGCACATGTGTGGTGATGAACCTCGTTTTGTGCCAGGAGAAAGCACTTTCGGAGCCTCGGCGTGCCAAACCTTTGGTGGGGAGCGCTCCCCAGCGCGTCTGCCAAAATGGTGACGTTCAGATCTGGTGGCAGCGCCAAAAGCATTTGCCGGATCGGATCTCGGTACTGAAATTTCGCAGCAGGTACGGCACTTTGAAGCTATGTGTGGAGATCCCACGTGTTTTATGAGGTTTGGGCCTGATTTTACAGGTTATGTCACACAGAGATGCCCGGCATGTCGACATAGGTTCCATCCGTCACAGAGCCGAAAAACTTTGGGAGCTGAAGGTACTCAATGTGTTGCGTGTTGCCTATTCCCTGGGCCCGGTTGATCTAGTTTGTCTGTGGAGACCCAGGGTCTATATGGAACGATATTTAAAATCTACAGAATCTATATATCCCATACACTCCATGTATGGTATATATGCCTACATTGACCCCCCAAACCACCCCAATGTAGGCATATGGCAGTCCCCTGGAGCGTTTGGGTATCTGAACTTACTGTAGTACTATCCAGTTTGGGAAAACCCGATTCCCTGGGCCGGATGATGGTTCAGGTAAGAAGGCCTTTCCATGCCTAAGGCCTAGTGATCTTCTGATACTAGTAGCTAGAAGCTATAGTAGTAACAGGAGTGGGGACCTGTGCTCTCAAATGTGTGCTCTCATATGACTGTGGTTCATGGCACCCGTTTCGCCTGGAATTCACCCTGGTATGGTAGTCTATTCTGTATATATACTTTCTGTGGTCAATCTGGGTCCCTCATTTTTGACCCACTCTCACGACATGTACTCTCATCTGAGTTTGCTCCCATGTGCGTACTCTCAGAGACGTACTCTCACATGTGTCCCATGTGTGGTTCTTTTACTAACCAACCAATAGTCCCAATGTGACCACAGTGTGACCGGCATTGAGTTGAGGGTGTCCGCACTGGCCTGTGACCAGCCGTCAGGGTTTATTTCCTCCGCTCCGTTCGTAGCGATGCCCTTTGTTCCTATAGCATAGACAGCAACTCAAATGACGGTGACAAACCGCGCTCGGCTCACACGGAGTGTAGAGAGCGGACGAGATCTCGTGGAGCTTTTTCAGCCGTTTCGGCAAGAAGTGGCGTGGCCTTGAGCCCGGGCCTGAGTCGCCTTGATTTTTTTTAAATGTTTTAATATGTGTTTATCGGAATTTCACATTGGATTCAACCACCCATATATAAAAGATGGCTCATCCTTTCACATTGGTCAATGTTCTATCTACTCCAGAATGGTTGTAATTATAGACACCACACATTGAACCCCCACCATTTTTTCAAACCCCACCATTCGCGCCTTCGTAGCAATTACAGCTCTCCGATGATGCATCCCACTCACCTCAAGTGGCTCAGATGTGGCTCCCCCGTCGAAGGTTGCCCACTGACGCCAGGGGTTGGTCCGGGTATGTTCCGTGCGAACAGTGTCACCTGAAGAGAACAGGAGACCTCCAGTTTAAGCATCGAAGAAGGAGAAGCTCTGCGCCGATGTGACATTCTGAAGAAGTCTTTCCAACTGGCTCAAAATATCTAACCAGCCTCTGTTTCCCCTGTCTCCCAGGCACCTATTTCATCCTCTTTCCAACCCCCCCAAGCAAAGATGATAGAAGTCTGACGAGTCAACCCTGCAACCGGTCCCCCCATTCAATTCTCCAATGGATGTGTTCGGGTCGAACATGCCAACCACCTGGAGTCGACGTCGATACCTCGAACCTCGGGTTCAATGGGGTCCCAGTCGTACACTGTTTCTTTATAGGGTCAGACGTCCCATTGGTCCAAGGTACGAACAGTCAGTCGGGTACTGGGTCACTCACGCCATGAACGGATTTCTGGACCTTCGACCTGCCCGATCTCCGTCGGGTGCGAATGGGCGAAATCGTCCCAACAACGGGCTTCGCTTCGACCGCGACCCTGGGGGGCAAAGACGGAAAACGCTTTTTTCCTGTGGCGCTTTGGTTCACGCTTGGCCTGTGTGGCTTTTTCTAGAATAAGAGCAACCAACTCCCAAACTCGCGGCCCAGGAGCCATGCTTGCAGTCTTTGCGGTCTTTGGCAAACACACTGAGTAGTAGACCTCGTGATGAAACCGAGCGATGGAAGGAGAAGAAAAACACCAACACTCGGAGGCCCATGGAAGTCTCCCGGAATTTGCACACGAAAAGAGAAACGCCACTTGTAGACTTCGGTGAACCAAAGAGGTGGGAGCCCTGTGCGTGAGCCCATGATGAAATCATGAGTATACTTCTTGCGACGACTTTGGTGTGTCAGAATGATGTGCCAAGGATGCAACATTGTTGTTGTTTTGTCAATTGCTTGCAACTAGTATATCAAAAGCATTCAAAAGCCAAAATCATTGAGGGAACAAACATGAACAAACAGAATGGAGAGAGAGAGAGGGGGTAACAAACAAACATATTAGGCACTGCAATGGCTGTGTTTTTACAGCCTAAAATGGGCTGTACACTTCAGGTGCCGAACTCCTGTGGTCTGGCTGGTCTCGCTGGTTCGCTGGGACCGCCGTTTCTCCCCACGTCGACACGAAGAAACCCAGCCGCCCGACGGGGGTTTTTGTCAGAAAGCCTATAGCAATTGGTCTGCGTTTCCTTCTGTGAGCGTCGCAAAACAAGAAAGCGTCGGAGCAAATCATTTGGCATCTAGAAATCAACCCGTCAGATTTGGACATCTATACGATCTGGCAGGTGTTGAAAAGTAGACGAAAACCATCCGAAATCTCGTGGTCCCTAGATGATCCCACTTAGTTCATACCAGATGAAACAAGGACCAATGTGCAAAGGACTCTACAATGGTGCCAATGTGCAAATCTAGTCCATCAATCCGCGATGATCACAAGATCTCAGCATGCAAAAAGAGGGAAGGGCAAACACTCTCACAAGCATCGCCTCCAATCTGACACCAGCTCATAGGAGAGTCGGACTAGGAACAAGAAGCTACTAGGGGCTCCTGGCCGTACTACTAGGAGCAAGGACGCTACTAGGGGCTCCTAGCCTTACTACTAGGAACAAGAAGCTACTAGGATCAAAAAAAGACTTTAAGGAACCTAGCAGCGATGGCCTCCCCACCTACTCGTCCTTTGGCCTCCCCACCTACTAGCGGGATGTCAACCCATCAGGAGGACAGGGAGTCCCACAAAAGGTCGACCGGTCAACTCCTAGGCCATTCTCATTGCCTCCCTCTAGATTCCCACCAAAACATCTAGGTTTCGACCTTCGACTCCATCAGTTCGACTCAATCTCCCTTCTTTTCGCCACATCTTCGGACGGTGGGATGATGTGGGATGGGTTTGGGGCGCGAGAAACAGACTGGACACGAACCACAGTGGGCTGGACACTCCCCCAGTCCCGATTGCGGACTGGGCTGGTTGACTAAGGGGTAGACGGGGTTGGCATGTATGAACCATGTAAATATGCCAGCTCCCCGTGGAGTCCTTGGCATACACATGAGCGAAACCATTCTCGGAAGAGAGGACTTGAGCTTCAAACACCGACCGGACCATAGGGCGCCAAACATGGCGCAGTTTTTCTTTAGGAAAAGGTGACCTTTTAAAGATTGCCCGTTCGCTACTAGTAGCCTCCTTGCTACTATTGTACTACTAGTAATGCCTTTTGTTACTCATTATATAAGATGGTAGCGATGCCCTGGTTTACGAACGTCGCCTTTGAACGGTGAGCGCTTCAGCACCTCCGACCGCCAAGACACTGACCGCAAGCAACCGCTTCATCGGGCACGACCGCGTTCCGGGCGCACCGAAGCTCGGCTGGGCCGAATGGGGGCAGCGGAAGAAGCGGAAGCGGCGGAAGCAGCCGGAACACACATGGATAGTGGGGATCTTTCTGACCAAGATGTAACATTTAAGATGGGTTTTGGAAGCTCAAAATTGGTTTGGAAGCTGATCAGTTTTTCATCGTAAGTTGAATCTCGAACGCTGCTGAAGGTGGTTCAATGACCGAAAGGTTCCTATGCTTTACACGGCTGTTTTGAAGAGGTCGATCTCCATATTTCCGACGGGATGTGCCGGCCAAGTCGGGATATGACCAAGCCATGCGTCAAAACCGCAGGATGGTTCTGGTTGATGGACAAAGGTGTAGCGTTTGCGCACTGTGCTACTTCCGAATATGACCCAGTAAATCACGTGGACCGAGCCCAGTGTTAACGAGGCAGCAATTGCTTTGCCCACTACACCTTCCCGCTTCCGGAGGCCGCGGGCACCAAATGCTGGGGTCGAGATATCCTAGTGCCCATGCTCAACATTCTGGGTAAGCTTTTGTTGGGGAGTCTAGTTTGCCTGAAGACAGCGCGATCGCAGTAAAAAGCCATACTGATTGTTTCATGCTGAAAAAGACATGCATCAGGACCTTCAAAAATCAATCTGGGATGTCAAAAGGTCACTTTGAAGGTCACTTTAAAGGTCACTTTTAACCCAACAGCCGGAATGAACACTAAGTCTTTCATCTGGTCTCAAGAGAGTTTGCCTGAGATTGAGATTGTTGGATGATTGTTGGTTGCTTGGGTTGTTAGTACAAGCCAGCATGAAAAACCTTCCGTGTAGCACCAACAAGACCTCTAAAAGCGAACTCATTACTACACCCTAGGGATCCAAGTACCTCCTTACTTCTGGAGCCCTACAAGCAGATGCTCCTCTGCTGCTTTCAAGTGCCATCCCAATGCTTTCCACCACACATTCCATGTCCTGCATCCAGTTCCGTGCCCAGATGCGCATCTCCACAGTTCGGGTGTGCATGTGTTCCGACGTACACTGGCGCAAGTGCTTTTAACTGATTAGGTAGAAAGGGATGTGTAGCTCAAATCATTAGACCTCGGCATTCCGAAAACTGATGGGGTCGAACATCGCTTCGGAAACGATGACCATGTCAGTCCACCGACCGGCTGTGGGATGCTAGAGGTCAGTTCACTCGTTGACGATGGAGAGAATCAACTGAGGAGGTCAACCCAGGAGGGCTTTGACTGACAGCCATCGCTATTAGGTTGGAGGCCATCGCTATTGCTGCTATTAGGTTGGAGGCCATTGCTACTAGGATCCTTCCTTGTACCGTTCTTCAATCCGTTCGTGGAACTTTCTGCGGGAACCCGGCGATGAAGCTCCCGCGGCTGACGAAGCCCATCCTGGGAGGACTGGAGGACTTGGGAGGAGGAGGACTGGAGGATTGGTTCAAAGGACACGGATCAGAATGGCATGTCAATGCCAGCTTCTTCCAAGTGACCTTTTTGGAGTCCCGACCAGTGACCTATTACAGGCCTTTTTGTGACCTCAAACCAGGGGATCAACAGGTCACTTGGAAGCAGGTGGTTGAGATTGTAGAATCTTTGGAAACTAATAATAGTGCATGGACATGGATATGTTCTCGAGACACTAAGTGACTCTGGTCTTTGCCTGCATCAAAAGAGGGGTCAAAGGTCAGCTAGCTCAAGTTTCTGATAGTCGTTTGTTACTAATTACGTGAAACCGCCCTGTCCAAACACCTTTGCTCACAATTGTTTAAGAAAACTTGAGCACATCAAAAGCCAAGACGTCTTACCGCACAGAAAAAATCTGAAAACGCGGTTCCTTCTCTGTCCCCAACTGAGGGTGCATGAGCCAGAAGTAAAGGGAACAAAGCCAGCCACAAAAGGAAATGTGAAGTGCACACCCCCTTGGGAAACACTGTAAGATGCCCAAAAATACACACCAACAGCATAGAACCCGACACTTCTCAAATCCTACGCCAAACCTCAACATTCCATCCATCTATAGCGTTGTCCTGAAAACAATCAGTAGCTGCACCCTGCACATACCCCAAACCAAAAATAATGAAGATGAAAATGCAAATAGACATGAAGAAACAACAACAACAACAACAACAACAACAACAAGAACAAAAACAAGAACAAAACAAAAACAGGATCAACAGGGCAAACCCCACTGAACATGCTGCGAAGTCATGCCCACTCTGGCCACCTCATCATCAGGTTGTGGTCAAGAATGGTTTCCAAAGGATCATGTTGCAAGTCACATGTCAAACACTGAGGTTTTAACACCTAATAGCAATGGCCTCCAACCTAATAGCGATGGCCTCCCACGTAGTTAGCGCGATGACCTCCCACCTAGTTTAGCAATCTGGCCTCCATCACTTTTCTTGTTTTCAAACCATTTGAAGCTCGAACCGCAGCAAGAAAAAGGTTGCTGGCGCCGCACGGCCCGGCCGCGACGGCCCGGCACACCTGCCGGTGTCCAGGGCTCGCCACAGCATCCGTAGCCTAGCCAGATGGGTGGAACCGCCGGTTTTTTCGCTGGTTTCGCCTAGGCCCCAAACCGTTTGGAGGGCCAAAACCCTGGCACTTACTTGGTATACTAGGACTCGTAGTGGGATATGATTCGATGGCATTTTTGGTTGCAATTGCATGGAGGAAAAGCACTCCGAGTCGGTCTCCTAATTGCTGCTCCAAATCGAGGATCCCATGATGATGATCCCTTATGGTTTGTCTATAGCCGGTCTAAGGCGATGTAGCTAGCTCTGCACCATGCTCTTCAAACTCTTCAAAGCCCCAGTCAATCTTTCCAGAAACAACGACTCGTTCCATCTCTCCGGCGCGTCATGTTGGGCACCCCGGCCGATCCAAGGGCAGCTGGTGCGGAGAGAGGCATAGGCCCATGTGGTGCGAGCGCACCAAAGACTTCAACTCCTCAAAGTTCCTGCTTTAGCCGCTGCGAAAGCTCGTGAAAGGGTGAACCAGAGGCGAAGAAGGTTTTTTTGACGTGGCGTTTAGGACAAATTCCCTCGTCGAGGGGTCTGGGCGTGTAGAATTTCCAACAAGTTTTTGGTCTATGTGTTTGGGGCGCTGAACTACAAAAACAGGCGTGCAAACACTGCTTGTTTGATTGCTTCTGGCGAGGAAGCATCACTTCTTGTTGGTGATCTTGAACTTTGCACCCCTACAGGTCACTGTGCTTAGTCAGGAGTTCCTGACCTTGTGGAATTGATCATTCCAAAAAGACGACTGGTTTTGATTGGGACCAAGGCCATGGACGGGACCACACAAGCGAAAGGTGACGGATCTTCAGCACGTCCTGATTCATCGCTGGCCAGACTGGTTTCCACTGGATCGCTGGTTGGCCGCCTCGTGGCTGGTTGGCCGCCTCCTTTGTGGTCGGGGCGGCTTTTTTCACGGCTTTCAGTTTTCAGAGCCAAAACATATCGCGCCACACTTTGACCGCTTTCGCAAAGGCACACACGAATCCCACTTTGGCCGTGTGTGAATCTTGCAGTGTTGAAAATGTATAATAGCTGTTTTTTCAATTTTTCATTCTTTTTCGGGACACAATTGCCAGAAGAAGTCGGAGCAAGAAGGATCTCACAACGAGGTCAAGATGATCCGCCTAGATCTATTTCTGCCACCGGTCACCATGCGCCAGATGCTCTGTGAAGCGCCAGACCCTATCCCCAGCGACATTTCGCCCCCCAGAGCAGGCTCGGAGCCGTCTGCAGCTGCCTGTTGAGGCCAGACCTTCAGCCACTAGACATCCAAGTCCTGAGGCCAGGACTTCTTTGGGGGAATGAGACAATGGGATCAAATGTTGACGACGTCCTAAATAAACAAATGCCAACGATCCTAGGGCAGCAAAGGACAGTGGGCGCATGAAGCCGCTCCCACGACAGCGAAGGAAATGGGGAATTCGGCAACCTTGGCAGGTACTGCAGCATTGATGCCCATCAGTCTTTCACCCCAAGCGGCTTGCTTCGTGTAGAAATCGCACACCAACTGATTGTCGTCAGGAACGCGATGCTTGGAGAGATAGGCATGCTCACCTCTTTTGACCAGCTTTCGGAACTTCAGTGCTTGCTTGATGCAGAAGTGGAATGCCCGCGGATCATGCAGTGCCTTGACCGATCCAATGAGACGCAGAATGCAGATCGAATCGCTCGTGAAGTGTGAGACTGTATGGCGCATCCTGTTCTTGGCTTTGTCGTAGACAATCACGTGTGACGGATAGCCTGCAAAGCTTGGGTGCAAACCAGCGGCTTCCAGTTCATCTGCGTATTCTCCAAGGAGTCTCCAAGGTATGGGACAGGTAGATTGCGCCATACCACTTCTTTGATGGAGTTGAACTGTTCATCTCCCAGTCTCCCATGGCTTTTTGACCAGCACATTGTGGAGCTGGAAGGCTCGGTCAATGAAGTCTTCTTTGCGTACTGGTCCACAAGTGGTCCCGGCAATGCTATAGCAACCCATCATCACCGAGCAGCTCCCAGTCCACCAATTCTGTCACTCGTGCGGGTGCTCTTGATCGTTTTCACTGTCTGCAACATGTGAGAGGAAACCACATCAGGTTGAATGTATCTACCCTATATTACTATCTCAAGTCTGCTGTTCCTTACTGGCCGCCTCTTGTGTTTCCCCCTTGTGGTTCCCAATCCTCGTTCCTGGGTATCGTATCGCTCCCGAGCAAATACAAGTAACTGGGACCAAATCGTACCGCCCTGCAGGAGCCAAAAGTTAGGAAACGACTAAACGCAATTGCATGATGTTTTTGGGTCATTGCTCGTTTCAGGCGGCACTGGGGTGGGTGCCATGGAGGTACATCCAGTCATACCGAACCGCTTCGGAGCTACGACGGATCGGTGTCTGCCTCACCCACTGATGGTTCGCTGCCGGCCGCAAGCCGCATCCGATCCCAAGCCCGGGCGAAACCGAAACCGAAGCAGTCATGGTCGGCAAATGGTCGGTGGCGCAGCAAAAGACCTCAGCAGATGTTCAAACACAAGGTCACTGTCGGTTGGTTGAGTGTTTTACTACCCTGCAGTGTTAA